TCTGGTTAAACATTTCAGCGTACTGCAAGGAGCAATGCAACGCGGTGACGTTATAAACAATAGAACTGTTTCCTATACCGTCCATACCAGGGTTTATAACGAGAGCTGTAAGTTATCAATTGAAAAATTCAATGACTTCCTCGGGAATTGAACCCGAGCTGTAGCGTAGTTGGATGAGGCATTATGCTATAAGCCGGAAAGTCGCGGGTTCAATTAACCTAATCATTCAAGCCGCTCTATGGCCTTGGGGTCTACTCAGCCTCTAATAAAAATGAGTACCAGGAATCTTCCTGGGAGTAAAGGACGGCCGGCACCCAAGGCTGACAACCTCACCACCATCTGCCAGTTGACTGTCTAGAGAATATGGTAACCTCGACGTCTCACAAGCCTGTGGACCTCCCTGGCCTGTTACAAGGATAACTTTTGTCAAAAGTACTTAAAAGAGATCATATAAATTATTGTCTCTGTTTACCTTAGTAGCAGACTTCACGCTACTGCTTTCTCATGCATACAATGACACATGTACTGTTGGAAATGTGCCGTTGTTGCACCACACTCCTCATTTTTATGCTTATGGCATTGTTGCACTTCTGAGAAATGATAATGAAGTCCTTGTAGTTGTTCCTCAGAATACAGCTTTGGCAGCAACATCGAAGCAAGTTCGACGGTACTGTGCACTAAGGAACTTCGAAAGTTTTAATTTATGCTTAATATGGGCCGCTCCATATGATTAATCGCTGGCTTCCCAACGCGGCGGCCCGGTTTCGATCCCGGGTCTTTTCAAGTGGGATTTGTGGTGGACAAAGTGGCACTGGGGCGCGTTTTCCCCAAGTACTTCGGTTTCCCCTGCCAATCTTCATTCCACCAAATTCTCCATCATCATAATCACCCGGGTCAAGCTACAATAGGCCAATCAGTGGCCGCCGTGCCGAGTGGACCCAGTTGGATTCCACCCCCCACTAAGCAAATTAAAAAAAAAATATCCTTAATATTATTGATAATACTGGGGTGATCAAGTCAAGTGTAATAAAGTAGGTGGATCACGTAGCACAGGCAAGGGACATGGTAAAATATTGGGAACTATAGTATGAAACTCTCAAGGGAAGAGACCACATGGAGACCTAAGCAAAGATGGATGAAATTAAATTGAATCTTTCTAGAATAAGATGCAAGGGGGTGGAGTGCATTAAATTGTTTAAGACAAGTAAAGCAGCCAGTGTGTGTGAACACGAAATAAATTTTCGATTTCTGCAAGAAATAGACGATTCCTTAATCAGGTCTGCAACTGTCAGCATTACGAAGAATGACCTGTTACGTGGTGTTAGATTAATCAAGAGCGTCGGGACACCTGGCTCGTATGGGGAAAATATATTCACCCGAAATTTTGTTTGAGGAACTTCGAAGGAAAACCTAGGCGTAGATTGAAATATAGAAATCACTGTATCTCTTAGAGAACCAGATTGTGAAGTTGTGAGGTAGACTGCGATATTTCAAAAGAGGGTCCAATGGTAGGATTTCTTGAGGACGGTAGTGGATATTCAGGTTTCACGAAAGCAGGGACTTTTGTGGACAGGTGAATAATTCCGAAATTCTCTGGGAACTTCCAACACTACGAAGTCAGACACTGTCACATTATAAGGTCTTGTCTTTCTGGTGACGCGAATCAAACTACTTGAGAATAAATGCCTCAGAAGTAACACGATATTTCTATGTAGATATGCAATATCTTTTGTTCACGAAAAGAATTATTTCTACTTCTAATTTGTCTTTCGTACAATTTTTTATATTATTATCAATAGGGATTTTGTAATGTCACCCAAGCAAGCAGTATACAGGCAACAGTTGTCACTCACATAACCAACACAACACAACCCTTCCGAAATATAAGGAAGATTGGCGCAGCAGACCCGTAAGAACCCCCGTCAGACACATGGGGAACGTAATTGAAACGTAGCAATATGGGACTAAATGAGCTAATACTATATAATAACTTATTAAAGCTTCAGAGAAAACCTCTGTGTTCAAGAAGTACTGGCCATAAGAATTATTATCACAAAATAAATATAATGGAATTATAAGGAAATAATGAAAGTGATATATATATATATATAATAATACAATGGTAAAATGTAAGTGAATAATGGAAATAAGACATTAGACGGGATAAATTGACTTCTACATCTATGAAAATTAATGAAACAAAAAATTATTAGGATAAAAATAAAAGAAAATTATTAAGTGTTCTATACATTAGATAGATGCAGGGAAATACACGATATGCCGATTCAGAGAATTAAAAAATCAGCTCCTACATAATTTAATGTTACCTAAATTATTAGATGCGTATAGTAGAATTGTATAGAAACTAATATTTCAGCTTATGTTGACACTATAATTTATATATATACACGTATCAGGGAGATCCTTTTTGATTTATATCAACTCTACAAATTATGTAACAGTCAATATGCCATGTAATTATTAAATGCATTAATTCACCTGATGATGACTTTGTGGCAGAAATATGTTATGACCAAGAAAGTAGCTCGTACGAACATACACAGCATTTGACTGTGAGACTGTATGAAATCTGTACTGAACTATTTCTAGCCTTATCCGGTGACTTTCACAGTTAGAGTAAACATAACGGCCGAACATCCGTGGGGTAATCATTTATCAGCCAACAGCAGACGTTTGGAAAGTACCTATTTTTGTTGAAACACAGTATGACACAGAGGAAATGTTGCTGGCTTCAGTTGGTAGGAAAGTTATTCTGCAGGCTGGGATGTTTCAGAGAAATGAGTTAAGTAGTTCTAATAGCTAACCCGCTACCAGTTGAAACCGAAAGTGCGAAAAAGTGAACACCAAAACCCTAAATTGACAGGGTCTTAAGCCAGTTCAAACCTCTCCCTCTAAGATCAAGCTCAATGTCATTCTCCCATTTCCTTGTCTATCTTATAAGTGGCCTTTTTTCAAAGTTTTACCTTCTGAAGCTTTGCGTTTGTCTGTTTCTCAGTGTCCTATTCATCGTAACCTCCTTGGTTTTGCTAACCTAACAACAAGTGATTTGTATAAACCATGAAGCCTTGCATTGTATAATATAAACTGGTCATTTTAGCCCCTGTTTTCGGTTGTGTAATCTATTTTCTTCTGTCAAAGACCTAGTTTCACGTCTATAAAAAATAGACGATAAGACACTATTTTAACAATCATAGTAGATAAACTCAAGAGGTATCCAGACCGTCTCTGGGGCCCACCAAGCCCCGTATCCAATGAGTAAATGGATACTGGGTGTTATTTCTAAGGGTCTAAAGGGGCCAGAACGTGAAACTGACCACTCATCTCTCGCTAGCATCGTAGTTATGAATGCATGGAGTTGTACCTCTACTAATGCTTCTCCATGGCGAGATGAAACACAGGGACCACTTTATTTTAACGCGTAAAAATCCCAGTATAAGAAACAAATTTCATGCGAGTATTGGCTTTATGTGATTGAATGATATCAATATCTTGCATTGAAACCAGTCGCTGTTACTTTAAGCAAAGAAGAAACTCAAATCCTGTAGGAACTGTATAGTTTGTTACGTGTTGGAGCTAGTATTTAAACACGAAACTTGTGAAATATCGAACCAGGACCGCACACACAATTTAATCACTTTGAATGTAGGCGTGGATTTAATTTTTATAGAAGTACCATTTTCTGAGGGCATCAGTAAGCTATCAGACACAATGCAAGACTGTATACTGATGCAGTAGTCTTCAAGGATTTCGGACCACTTCATAAACTTCATTCCAGCCTTTGGGGCGAGTTTCTACAGTGTCTTCACAGTAAGCGCGGCATAAGCACAATTTGATTATGGACCCAGAATGAATATAATATTAAGGTAACAGTGTGATCGCAGTGAGAATATACTTCAATTGAACAATTAAAGACGAAGGAGAGAAAGGAAAGAAGAAAGAAAAGAGGAAGAGGAATCGCGAATTTTTTTATTGCTAGTGGGGTGGGACTAAGTCCCTTGTACTGCGGCCACTTCTGGCCTATTGTACCAGCCCCAGATGATAGGTGAGGGTGATTGTGGAGCAATTGGTGGAATGAAGATTGGCAGGGGAAACCGAAGTACTCGGAGAAAACCTGCCCCAGCACCACTTTGCCCACCACAAATCCTACTTGACCACACCCGGGATCGAACCAGGGCCGCCGCGGTGGGAAGCCAGCGACTAGCCGCTTGAGCTACGGCGCGGCCAATCGCGACGTTACAACACTCGAATTTTTCCAAACGCTTTTATTGCCACTTCATGTAACTCGTACACAGATATACTCGTATTGACTCACCTAAGTGTCGCGCTGTATAGAGAGAAGCAATATTTGTTCCTTATATTTCTTTAATCACTGTGTAGAGACTGTTTCAAATGAAAGGGTAAACCGTAGACTTATGCGTTGTATACATATGTTTTGTTACTCTTAGTCCTTATCGAGAAATTTTATGAGCGCCCTTCCATTTCCTCCATATTTCTTCATGGCGCCGTGTTTAATTAAGGACAGAAAAATATTAACCTTGAACGTTATATCTGGGTTCTTTCAAGTAGGTGCTATGATTAACCAATACACTAGAAAATTAAATTTACCACTCGCGTTTTAATTTAGATTCCCCAGTGCCAAATTTCACCGAAACTCCTTATTTAGTCTCGGGACCACCAGACCTTGTCATGCCATGTCTTCTAGACGTCTTCATTTTACGGTGCTTGGGCACAGGGGCTACCTCTCTTATCATAAACAACTAACTAATCAATAAATCAAATCAATCATGACCCTGACATCGCCGACAGCGGAACCCGGAAACCAAATTTGAGGTCTCATCGATGCTGCTTAGCTGACACCGGTGAAGCGGGGTGTGGTCTCGTGCCCAAAAAATGGGCGAGACGGGAGCTTGCGCAGAACTGACCGTGATCCGAACCGCGGGCGTTGAGGAGGCCCGGACCCCACTACACCGGAGGGAGACTATTGAAGTACAGCTCCTCTCTACTTCTGCTGTAGACTGACCATCCCAACAGTGCTCGCTAAGAGGTGGTCGAATGTTGCTGCGCTCTGCGGACTCCACACTACCCCAACTCCAGGTACGAGCTCTCCTGTCACACGTGTACGCACGATAACCTACTTGGCAATACCAGTGGAGTTGTTTTCACCATTGCTACCACGATTTGTTTTCAGTAAAGTTAGCCAGCGATGTGTTGTAATTCACTAACCGTCATCTATAGTGTCAGCCTGTGATATTTTTAATTTCAGAGAAATTATAGTTTGTCCTGTATTTGTGAAACTCGGCATATAAGTGCAATGCATTCGGTTTTCGAGCAGTCAAAACTCAGTTCCATTTTATGTAATTTACGACAAAGAGTGTAATGTTTTAATTATATTTTGCATATTTGGTTTCCAAGTGTCGCGTTTTATAACTTATTCATTAAAAGCGATCTTGAAATTTTCACGAAATATTGACACGGATCTGACGATAATTCTGTTGCATAAAAATTTTATGATTTCATGTTCATTTACTTAGGCTTATCATACCATGTGTCATACATACCATAAAATATGTAAGATTTGAGGCTTTCACGGCGGTGACTATGAAGAAAGCAGTCTTCTGGGATTTGGAACCGTGTATATGTGGTGTTACCTGACGTTTCGGAGGAACGTCGGGTAACACCACATATACACGGTGGCAAATCCCAGAAGACTGCTTTCTTCATACCATAAAATATTTCGTATTTATGTAAATTTATCTTCTAATTCAATAATGGTATAACTTTCTTCCTTCAAAATAGATTATCTCTGTGAGATTGGAGATTCTCACGGCTGTGAGTATGAAGACAGTGTTTTGTGATGTGATAACCTGTAGTCTGGTAGATCGCTACCAACTTTCGGAGGAATTTAATGCCTCTCGTTTATAACTTATTAAATTTATTAGGATGCCTTCGGTTTTATTTATATTTATTTGGATTCCACTTACTACATACTACACTAAGAAGTTTTGAAAAATAAACTTTGATATTTACGAGTTAAAAAAATATTTTAATTCATCGATGCCAAAATTCATTACTATTTGTCTATAACTGATAAGATTATTTGCGAAAGTAAATATTTTATTATTCCAAAAATTGCTTCCGTTTTACTTATGCGTCTCCTTTCATTATGGTGATATAATTTATTTTTCTATTGCTTATTTTGGTTCCAAGTATTATATCAGGCATTCGATTTGTGAAATAAGTTAAATTTTCCTTTATTAATAAAATCTTAACCAAAATTCTGTGTTGAACATTGTCAGGTCTGTACATCAACATGATTTACAGTGGCCATGAGAACAGTATTTGAATATGTGTATAATTTCAGCACCGATTATATTCCAATTGACGGGGGCCATTTTCTATTATATCAAAGTTTTGTTTTTCAATATATTACTCGACTAATGTGTACTTCCACTTTCTTTCTTCTTAGATGATCATTTTTCAAAAGAAGAATGAACTCTCCTTGATCTTATATAATTTCTTAATTTTGTAATTTTGATGGACCTGATTTCGGCCATACTATAACGTAGTTACTTTTTCCCTCTTTTGTAACCTATGTTTTAAACAATTTTTTGTTTTACATGGGTACGAAATGGGAGCCGGAATAGCGTAGTCGGTATAACGACTGGCTATGGGCTGGATGACCAAAGGGTCAGAGTTTGAGTCCCGGTAGGTTCATGAATTTTCACTTCTCCAATCATCCTGTTCAATGGATACCGGGGGTAAAGCGGCCGGGGCGTGAAGCTGATCATTCATACCAAGGTCAAGAAAATGTGGATCTATATATCCACTCACCCATACGTCTTCATGGTGTAGTGCTTAATTAGCTAAGCACAAGGACAAATTTACCTTGTTTACAAAACTTGATTTCAGTCACGAAATGGTGAGGACTGGTTCAGGAGAGGATTTTTTTTTCTTAGTCTATTTAAAGGCTCTTTCAGAATCAAGAGTATATAGCTTCGGAGGAGGGGAAATGAAATTAAAAAAAAATAGTTCGTAAAAAAAGTTTAACAAACACGTATTATTCTTAACCGAATATTATTAAATGTTTGAACCAAGAAATTAAGTATAGTTTGGGAGAAACCTGTAACACGCACAAGAAAACAACTTGGGACTACATGCAATATTTGTTATTATAGAAACTAAATGGAACCTACTGCTTAGAGAAGCCAGTCAGAGGTGGGATAAAGTTAAAATACAGGCACCTTAAATTTAAACGGGTTTAGGAAATAAAAATCGGACTGAACGAACTTCTGGATAGTTTCGTTTAGAGAATTTTGTTAATACGATAGTCAATTTTCGTGTTTCGTGAAAGAAAGCAGCTTCTTTATCAACTGAGTGCCGCATACTATACGGTGCCGTCCGTTAATGTTTATATTCTCATAGTGCTGCTGCATTTGAATATGTAGAATGTAACGAACTGTTTGGGCTAACTAATAGAAGCGTTACACTGAAATTATGAACTGCTGCAATTAATGGTTACACGGATTTAATAACAGTGTTTAATCAGGTACTGGCAGTAGGTTAGTTCTGTTACCATGCTTGATGCCGTTGCTGTAGCCACCTGATCATGATTTATTAACTAATGTTTATTGAAACAGCGCGTTATGTATCACCACTGCTGTGCATGATAAGAGTCTTTATGGGTTTAACACAGACAAGGCAAAATGTTTTACTAGTGACAAAATTTGCGAAAGTAGGAAAGAAGTATTTTGTACCCGAAACTCAGTGGCCTCATAGTATAAGTTGCCTGGGGTACACAATGAATCGCTGGCTCGAATCGCGCTTGGCCATGAATGTAGCTTCCTTATGTAGGTATAGCCTATGTGATGTCTAAAAATAAAGATTTTCGGAATTAATTCTGAATCAGAGAAGCCCGTAAGATAAACTCCGAAGAAGTAGTTGGTCTGTAGGTAGAGATTTGAACCCAGAACCGGCAGGATTGGAAGCAGGATTGCAGAATTTCCCAGGTGTTGATTTGTGACATGATGGCTTACTGCCAAATCTATAAATATGAACTTCTGTCAGCTATTCATTTACATTGTAAAATCGGGCGTCTCTTGACGTTGCAGCAATTTATATCTTTTGGCTTCCGGGAACTTTATTCTTCACACGTGGATTTACTAAAAGCCAATCACAGCTTCTTGTGTTACAAAACCACAAGTGTGGTCCACGTTTCCTTCGCTGTCCGGTCCAGGACACGCCCTTGGCATATGTTGAGGTGCAAGTACTTCGAAGTTTATAGGTTCACAACAAATCGCGATAAATCAGAACTACCGACAAAGGGTTTAAGAAACGTGTATTATTTTTTTGATAATTTAACGACGTTGTGTCAACTGTGGATGTTATATATCATGAAATATTATGAAAAGGCTATCACGAACACAGAGAACGGTAAAATGGACATCGTTTGCTTCAAGACATTGATGCTATTTCCTGAGAAGTGTGATGAAAATGGGGATGAGTATGAGATAAAAGCAGAAGCACAGGCAGTAATGGAAGAAGTAATGGAAGACAAGAAGAGAGAAGGGGAATAAAGGATAAAGTTTATTGAAGAGTGGAGGAAAACACCCCAGGCGAAATCATCCGGAAGAAGTAAAAATGTAGGAGAAATACAAGGAGAATAAGAAGAAAAATGATGAACAGAATTACAGGGGAAATAGAACATGAGGAAAACAATAAAATGTCTAAAGGGAAAAGTGTTATAAAAATTAGTTTTGAAAATTTATAGCGAATTTGGCCAGACTGCTGCGGGTTGTTTACAATTCCATATTCTTGTACAATTGAGGATATTTATCCTTAAGTGATTATACGAGTGACATAACCATTTTCGCGAGCTGTAATTTCATTCAGCTAATGGAGCCATGATATCCAGATGACTGAATAAAGGAATGACATTTGAAAAAAGAGCCGGTCACGGTAGCCGCTCGGTCTAAGTCTTGTACTGTCCTCGCTAGCTCGGAAGCCGGGAACGTGGGTATGAATCCCACACAAGGCATGGATGTTTGGTATGTGTATGCGTTTATTCTGTTTGCGTTGTCCTGTGTTTAGGTAGAGACCTTGAGACGAGCTGATCACCCGTCCAAGGAGTCCTACTGTCTGCAAAACGACCATGAAACTGAGTAATCAGCCCTGAGCTCCAAAGTGGGAAAACGGGAGAGAGAAAATAGAAGAGAAAATTTCATAGAAAGAGCTGGTAATTAAATATAAATTCATGATATGGTACATTTGTTTTCTGGTTCTCTGAGGCTTGAATCACAGATCTGAGGTACGTTAATGTATGTACAATGCTTGAGTCACAAATCTATATTGCTTCCGGCGATTATTGTGCTGCGTAAGGAGAGTTCATTAATCTAGGGACCTTGTGGTTGCGGCGGGAGATGACGCGGGTTAAGGCTGGGTGACTGACTCCGGGGTTAGGAGCCTACTTTCTTGCATTTTTGCTTTCCGTATGGCTACCTATACCCAGTCAGCAGAAAACGTGACTGATCACTGACAAAAAAGCCAGAATGAAAATTTGAACTCCAATTTGATGATTCTATTGAATGTGAATGGCATAGCAGAATTCTAGCCTTGTGGGCCTATTTGCATAATAGTGAAAAGTGTTTCACGGTAATACTGGCTATTAGGCCTGTATTTTACACTACCTTATAGTTCTAACAGTTGTATCACGAGCCATTTTTGAGGAAAAGTACGAAGACTCCATCTGATCTTTATGTAAATTAGTGATGTAGCATACCAACGTGAGCCGGTCACGGTAGCCTCGCTGTCTGAGGTATGAATTGTCTTCGCTCGCTCGGACGCTGGGATCATGGCTTCGAATCCCAATCAAGGCATATATGTTTGGTGTATGTATGCGTTTATTCTGTGTTTGTGTTGTCCTGTGTTTAGGTAGAGGCCTTGCGACAGCTGATCATCCGTACAAGGAGTCATACAGTCTGTGAAAAATGATTACGGAACTGAATAAGAGACCAGGGCCCCAAATGGGCTGGAAGAGCCATTATAAAAAAAAATATACCAATGTGAAGAAACATTAAATTAATTGTACAGCAATTAGT